TTAAACTGCGTTTGACTGAATTGCACTGCAAACAAAGGGGCGCGAAACAATCACGTTTGTACAAGTTTTTGGCGCTAAAATCCAGCCGAATACTTTTGCCTAATATTCAGCTATTCGGTCGGGGGCCTCGCCGAATATTCGGTATACTGCCGAATATTCTATTCGTTGCAAGTCTTATTATTACCAAAATTGAAGCTAATAAAAAAAACAAACACCTTCTTTGAAAAACCTTCTTATATGAATTCAAAGTGAGCTATAGGTAATTCTATGTATATATTTTTTCGACGAGTACTTAAATCTAAGTTTCCAACACTAAATAACGGGAAACCTATGCATTTTGATGAATGGTTGGAATTATTTTTCGTTTTTCCTAAAAAAAATAAGTGTTATCTTATTTTTATCATAACTTTTTCAATTTTGAAGCTATTAACTTTTTACAGTGCTCATTATAAAGGTATTTCTGAGGAATTTAAAAAGTGCTCCGGAAGTGTATGTCATAAATTCATCGGTTTCCCGTTATTTAGGTTTGAATACTTAGATTAAGTACTTGCCGAAAAAAATATATGTACATACAATTACCTATAGCTCACTTTGAATTGAAATTAGAAGGTTTTTCAAAGTAGGCGTTTGTTTGTTTTTATATTAGCTTCAATTTTGGTACTAATGTTTTTTTTGTAAAGCTCATAGTTTTTGAGTTCTTTATGAAAAACCGCTTAAACATGTATTTTTATCACGCAAAATCACAATATTTAATCTTTAATAACTCAGAAAGTATTGATTTATTCCGAAAACTTAATATAACAAATTTTACTTAGAATTTGTCTTTCTATCGATTCCTGGAGTTATTATTATTAAAATAATTTTCACCCCCGAGAAGGGGTGGTATCTACCCTCTGGGCAAAAGCGCAAGTAGGCACTATGTCACTTTTGTTTCTTATGGTATCCCCCACCTACTTACCAATTTTCATGAAAATCGATGGCGGTTCAACGAAATCGGAGGTTGCAGCTGATTTTTGCCTTCATTGACTATACCATTATGAAAACAAAGATTAAACTACTTTCTTTGATACTGTTACATGTGTAACATGTGTTGTGTACTAACTCATTTAGATGTGATTTTATGGTAATTTAATGTGTGACATGCTACCTACTCTTAAAGTGCCAACAATTAGGGAGTTTACCCTATATTCTAATGTTTTCTTTTCTATTAATTTAATTCAAAATGATTCAATGAAATTGGAACGATATAGCCCACGGTTGTACTGTTGTTGTACAATCGTCATTGTTTAAATTGATTTTTGATATATTTATTGTCTCTGGTAGGTACGATTGATTTTATTTTATAAATAAAAGTTTTTTTTTGTCTTACAGCTTCAAATTTTATTTTTTTCAAATAATACTTTGGAACAATGTTAGGAACAACTAGAACAACTTGGAACAACTTTAAAAATAACGAATTCCCAAACATGGGGGGCTATCTCAAAAACGGTTTTTTTTGCCTGACAGCTTCAAATTTGAGTTTTTTCAAATAATACTTTGGAACAATGTTAGGAACAACTTGAACAACTTGGAACAACTTTAAAAATAACGAATTTCCAAACATGGGGGGCTATCTCAAAAACGGTTTTTTTTGCCTGACAGCTTCAAATTTGAGTTTTTTCAAATAATACTTTGGAACAATGTTAGGAACAACTAGAACAACTTGGAACAACTAAAAAAGTATTGAATTTCAAAACATGGGGGGCTACCATAAAAACGTTTTTTTTGTCTGGCAGCTTCAAATTTGAATATTTTCAAATAATACTTTGGAACAATGTTCGGAACAACTAGAACAACTTGGAACAACTAAAAAAATATTGAATTTCCAAACATGGGGGGCTACCATAAAAACGTTTTTTTTGTCTGGCAGCTTCAAATTTGAATATTTTCAAATAATACTTTGGAACAATGTTCGGAACAACTAGAACAACTTGGAACAACTAAAATAATAGTGAATTTCCAAACATGGGGGGCTACCATAGAAAAACGGTTTTTCTTGTCTGGCAGCTTCAAATTTGAGTTTTTTCGAATAATACTTTGGAACAATGTAGAACAAACATAGAACAACCCAGAACAACCTAGATAATAATAAAATTCAAAAAGTGGGGGGCTAACTTCACAGAGGTGATATTTAGGGTTGGAAACTTAGATTTAAGTACTCGTCGAAAAAAAATATACATACAATTACCAATAGCTCACTTTGAATTCATATAAGAAGGTTTTTCAAAGAAGGGGTTTGTTTTCTTTTTATTAGCTTCAATTTTGGTAATAATTAGTCTTGCAACGAATAGTATATTCGGCAGTATACCGAATATTCGGCGAGGCCCCTGACTGAATAGCTGAATATTAGGCAAAAGTATCCGGCTGGATTTTAGCGCCAAAAACTTGTACAAACGTGATTGTTTCGCGCCCCTTTGTTTGCAGTGCAATTCAGTCAAACGCAGTTTCAACAGAAATGGATCTTTTCTTAAATATTAGTAATATATCACGTCATGACAACCTATATACATGGTGGCAGCAAGGAAAATTGAATTTCCGTGTTTGATTAAGATTGCAGCAAAATATTTGTCGGCGCCAGGAAGTAGTGTTTATTCAGAGCGCCTTTACTCTGAAGCTGGGATGGTGTTCGAGAAAAAAAGAATTTCTACTACTTCCTAAAAATGCAGAAAATTTAGTCTTTCTGCACCATAACCTTCCCCTTCTAAATTTTGATTATGAAAATAATACAAATGAATAGAAAAATTCTTAACTTGTTTAATACAGAAAATGATGAAATTATGTACCTGTTTTATGTACCCATGACTACTTAATAAATTATTATAAAAAAAATGAGAACCTTACCCTTTTAAATTTTGATTACCACAATAATTCAAATACATAGAATCCTCCATTTTTCTCCTCCAGAGAAAAGATGATTATGTACCAATGACTACTTTAATGATTATATATAACAGAAATGAAAATATGAATATATACCTACGTAATCAATCGACATTTATTTTCATTTTACCAATTATTTCTCTATGACAAAATATATTATTTAAGTATTCGGTATTCGGCCGAATAATATGTAGGTATTCGGTATTCGGCCGAATATAATAAAAGCAGCCGAATAGGCCGAATACCGAATAGTAACCGAATATTCGTTGCGTCTAGTAATAATATATTTTTCTTTAAACTCATAGTTTATGAGATATTTATGAAAAACCGCTTAAATCATGAATTTTTTGACGCAAAATCACAATCTTTGATCATTATTAACTCAGAAAGTATTGATTTATTTCGAAAACTTAATATAACAACTTTTGCTTAGAATTTGTCTTTCTATCGATTCCTGGAGTTATTTTTATTAAAATAATTTTTACCCCCGAGAAGAGGTGGTATCTACCCCTAGGGAAAAAGCGCAAGTTGGCACTATGTCACTTTGTTTCATATGGTATCCCCCACCTCATCACCATTTTTCATGAAAATCGATGGAGGTTCATCGAAATCGGAGGTTTTAGCTGATTTTTGCCTTCATTGACTGTACTATTATGAAAACAAATATTGAACTATATTTCCTTGATACTGTTACATGTGTTGTGTACTAACTCATTTAGATGTGATTATGGTAATTTAATGTCTGACTGACATGGAACCTACTCTTAAAGTGCCAACAATTAGGGAGTTTACCCTATAGTGTAATGTTTTCTTGTCTTATAACTATTAATTTTATTCAAAATGATTAAATGAAATTGGAACGATATAGCCCACGGTTGTACTGATACGATCGTCATTGTTTAAAATTATTGTTGATTTATTTATTGTCTCTAGTACGATTTGGTTTGGCGGGCTAAGAAAAACGGATTTTTTTGTCTGACAGCTTCAAATTTGAGTTTTTTCAAATAATACTTTGGAACAATGTTAGGAACAACTAGAACAACTTGGAACAACTTTAAAAATAACGAATTTCCAAACATGGGGGGCTATCTCAAAAACGGTTTTTTTTGCCTGACAGCTTCAAATTTGAGTTTTTTCAAATAATACTTTGGAACAATGTTAGGAACAACTAGAACAACTTGGAACAACTAAAAAAGTATTTAATTTCAAAACATGGGGGGCTACCATAAAAACGTTTTTTTTTGTCTGGCAGCTTCAAATTTGAATATTTTCAAATAATACTTTGGAACAATGTTCGGAACAACTAGAACAACTTGGAACAACTAAAAAAATATTGAATTTCCAAACATGGGGGGCTACCATAAAAACGTTTTTTTTGTCTGGCAGCTTCAAATTTGAATATTTTCAAATAATACTTTGGAACAATGTTCGGAACAACTAGAACAACTTGGAACAACTAAAAAAATATTAAATTTCCAAACATGGGGGGCTACCATAGAAAAACGGTTTTTCTTGTCTGGCAGCTTCATGAACAAACATAGAACAACCCAGAACAACTTAGATAATAATAAAATTCAAAAAGTGGGGGGCTAACTTCACAGAGGTAATATAATCTCTTGAAAATAATAGTGTTTCCATGACAATAATTAATTTGCATGAAACGATCCCTACAGTACCTACCTAGTAAGATTTACCTACATTGTAGGTCACGGTTAGCTGTGTGACGTCATTCTAAATCCAACATGGCGGAATAGTTATTTTTAAAGCATTCCTACGATATGGGTATATGGGCTTGCGGAGAATCTTTACATATAAAATAAAATATTTACAATCACAAAACTAGAAAGAAACTCAATTATGTAGATGAAATTAAAATACTGTAGGCGGGCGGCCCTACCGTGTGTTAACGCTCGGCCGTAGGAATTTATTTCAAGGACAGGGCCGAGTCACAATACTGTATAGATAATATTACCGTGGTTCGGTCGTCCCTGCGGCGCATTCGCGACTGGGTGCCCACCGAGTGTCGCGCGAACTCTAGTGGCGTAGTTATGACTCGCTTTCCGATCGTTTGTATGAAGATAGAATACTGTATAGATAATATTACCGTGGTTCTGGTAAATATCAATAATACACTGTATGAGATTAAAAATAATTTAATTATTTTTTGTCGGACATTCGTCATCAATATGTATAAGAAGACATTATCGACATGTCGACTCTTCAGGGTCTAATGCTTTGACGAATCCAGGTATTGTAGGAGTGTACTTTCGTATAAACCCCTGGTACGCCCTCAAGTCCGCAATGGAGTGCTCCGAAGCTAACCACGCCTTCTGCCGTGAACACTTTGGGGCCTGTCTCGCGTTCAGTCTCCAGCATGAGGGGACCGCCGCTGTCGCCGTTGCACGAGTCCTTGCCTCGCTTGCCGCCTGCGCACAGTTGCTTACTCCACAGCTGCGGTGTAGGGCTTATTTTTGCGCTATACGCATTTTGACAATTCTGAAATATTTTAAAAGCATTGAATACTATAGTTAAGTAAGCGTAATGATAAAATGCCTATAAGTTCGTCCTATGAGCAATGCCAAGCACTAGTCGTAGTCGACGACTAATATGTTACCCAGCTAGAAGTAGGACTAGAATTTGCTCGTAAGATAGCTTTCATAGCTATTACGACAGCGGATAACTTGTGGAGAGAGTCTGTTATGTTTAATGTGAACAACCAACAATTCCAAGTAACAAACTCCTAGTATATACATATCTTTTTTAGATTTGATTGACATAGGATCACCACATCTACTGTTCTTGGGCGACAAAACAGTTAATAACTGGGCACTATTTTCTCCAAATCGACATATGTCACTGCCATATGCCATAATGTCACATTTTGTAACATCATGTTATGTGATTAAAGTGCTTGCTGTTTATCATGGAAATATTATTATACCTGCATATCTACCATTGGTACATGGACATGTTGTTTCAAAGCGCTGTTTTGTATGTTCTCGGACATTTTACCCCAACCGGCCACATGTACTGTTAAATTAGACAGCTGCGCCGACGTTGACACGTCTGATGTTGGTAGGCAAATTGGTCGAACAAAATCTGTAAATACAATAAGTGTACATTCAATCTGTTAGTAATGGCTCTCGGTTTCCTACGAGTGTGGTTATATATAACTGTTTGCAAGGTGTAGGGCGCAAAGCAATTGTAATCTTATCCAAAAACAACGTCTAAAGGATAGAGGTAGGTCAGCAAAACTTTGATTGAACTTAAGAAAGAATCTAATTTCGTGCAGCATAGCAGCAACTTTTGAATACCTGTGTAGTTCGCCTCTCCGTCTAGTCTGATCAGAGCAATATCATTTCTCTGAAGTTTTTTGCCATATTCAGGATGTTTTATGATTTCCTTTATAGGAATGCTGACAGCTGGGGAGGTGCAGTCTTGACCGCCGCCTGCCGCATCCACACAGTCTTCACCAGGGTTTGTTATGTCATACTCCCCCAACCGAACACTCACACTGTAAAATGAAACCAAATTGTTTCCTCCTGATGATTTAGATGTTTCATCCAGTGCAAAATTTGAGATGAAAAGGTATACTCAAAATTTTCACCCTTTTACCACCAACCCCTATTTAATATTAGTATTTTTACTTTCATCTACAGATGGCGGTATGAAGTTTGATGGTCAGATAGTATAGTTATGCGGTTTCGTTGCTTTACACAGTTCCTACTGTTGGTACTTTGTATGATTTGTTTGGTGTGTTGTAGTTTGTGCTCAGATAGTTTATACACGCAGAAAGATTGAGTAACGACTAAAAAAAATATAACAATTTTAAGTGAGTGTATGTGAGGAAGGAGGAGGAGCGAGGAGAGGAAGATTTTGGGGAACATTTGGTGTCAATTTTGGCCTAATTATCTAAACCTATACTAAAGTATGACAACAGTATATCCTTGCCATCTTCTATTCAAATGAATGTAATTGGAAACAGTTTCAAGAAGAGCCAGTTAAATAGTGCCGTAATTCCGTAATAATAGTCTTTACCTATGGATTTGCCCTTGTGCTGTGCTGGTTATATCAAATCCATTTTTTCTGTTTTCGTTAAGAATTCTAAGTTCAAATTATTTTTATTTTTAAAACATGGATTTTTGGATGAAACATGGACCATTATAAAAATGATAATTTTTTTGAAAATTTATCATTTTTATAATGGTTAGCGTACTGTTTTCAATGCATTTGTACGTTTTTCGTCATCATGGATACGGTAAAAATTCGAGTTATTATAGAGTATGAGTACCGTCGTGGCAGCAAATCGGCAGAAGCGGCACGCACAGATGTAGGTCTCGATTTAGAGGTGTGGGGCCCTGGGGCAACGAAGGTCTGGGGACCCATATTTTCAAGTCTGGAGCTGGGCCCCTTACGATTTGCGACCCTAGGTACGCAACATCATCGACGATTGCACCACCTGTTATTGGTTTGCCCGTTTCCGTTTCCGGAAATATCGACCTAAGTTATGAACCCCGTGGTCGACCGAAAACTTTAGTCGACCATGACGAATTAAAGGGATGGTGGAAGGTGATGATTCTCATCTCATCTACAGCTGAATTAGCAACAGCTTTCGATGGTAGCATCAAAACAATATCGGTCCATTTGCGTCAAATTGGCAAGGTAAAAAAGCTTGATAAATGGGTATCGCACAAATTGAATGTTCGCCAGCGCGCACTACACGTCGAATCGAGACTTGCACTGCTTAACAGGCACACAAACGAAGGCATATTAAATCACATTGGTACTTGCGATAATATAAATGGATTCTGTTCGACAATCGCAATGACTCAGCAAGTTCGTTAGATCCTGGTTCAGCACCCAAACAATGCCCCAAACGAAAACTGACCCCTTAAAAGTGATGGTCATTGTTAGGTGGTCTAGCGACTGCGTGGCCATTCGGAGACGTGTGCCGCGACCACACCACACCCGCCCTCTTGGCACGCACTAGGGGGACCACGGTCCTCATAGTGCGTGTCGGGTGACGGTGCAGGAGTATTGTCTAGTTCTTAGTGGCCCTGTTCAGGGCGTAGGTATTAGTAGTATTTCATGAAAAACGGCGATTTTTAGGTGTGAAAATAAGTTATTTCTATCTGCCCAATGGGAGAAAGTTTTTATGTATGTCTGCATGTTGTTGGACTTGGAGTAAGAGGAAACTTTTAGAATAGCTTTCCTGCGCATAAATATAGCATCTTGATTTAAATCTATACATATTTAATATTTTATCTCATGTTGTGAGGTTTAGTACAGTTATTGGCAACTCAACTCTGACACATTTAATGTTATGTCATCTAAGGTACAGGTTAAAGGCTAGCTCAGGCGATTATACGTTCATCTTACTTACGGTTTTGTGTCATTTGATGTGCAGTGAGCCGCAGTCAACACGTATTTGTTACTTATAAGAAAGCCTCCGCAGCGGAGCTGTATCTCGTTATTCAACTTGTATTCTAAGAGCGCAAGCCAAGGATATTGGTCTATATTTGTTGACGTGCCGCCTTGAAAGCAGAAAACATAGTAATTTGTTTAGCATTTTGTTCAATGCTGTTCGTCGTGCAGGCCTACAAGTACGTTCTCTAGTTATATATTAAATCTATCTAGTGTTTGCTATTTGTCAACATGACAACACTCTGCCCTTATCATGCTTTTTAAATAATGAAAAGGACAGACTGATCTCAAGTTTACAAATAGTAAACACGAATAGCAGTGAAGTGTCGGCATATCATGCAAAATGTTTCTATTTATAGCGAAGGAATATTTTGTTATGAGTTATTTTTTGTAGCCGTCAAGTTTTAAATACTATAACTTGTTGCGGTAAATTCACAGAACACAGAAAGTATGTTCTGTGAATAAATAAATCATTTGCATTAAATACTTAATTTTCCATTCGGCCGTTTTCAAAACCAGTTTCGAGAAAATAATTATGATTCTTTTTATGCAACCAGTTTCGAAAACAGAAATGTATTTCTTTTTTCGAAACTGGTTGCCAAATAATAAAAATGTTTCTGTTTTCGAAACCCGAACCAAAAATCTGTTTATGAAAAAATTCTCCGTGTAAGGACGGCATTGCCACAATGCCCATAACATTGGACACTACGATCCAGAAAGATATAAAGCAATCAATAGGAAGTAAAAGAAACGCCTTTATGTAAAACGCGGATAAAAGTTAGTTATTTTAAACCTAATGCTGTCTTCTTTTTAGCACACAAAAGTGACGGTCAATTTTGTTGTTTGTTAATCCAGGTTTGACTTTAGTCGCGCGGGCCGTCCTGCGCACGTCTGCGGGGTCCCCGCGATACCCCGGGAGACCCCTGCCGCTGAGCCGCTAGGTGCGGAGACGCGGAAGAATCCCTAAACGGGGATCCCGCGGCTTCGCGCTAAGCAGCTTAGAGGGTGTTCGCAGGGTTTTTTTAGCGGATATTATACCGTAAAGCGCCCGTAAGGGTTACGGAGTCCTCAGTGGGCAGCCACTGCTGGGGTTCGTAAGGCTTGCGGGAGCCAGGTGTGAGGTCCGTTCGGTGGTGTGCCTCTTAAAGGCGCCGTCGTCTGTAAATAGTATTTTTTGCCTGCGTATAAAAAAAAAAGGTTTGACTTTACTCAACGTTTAGTAATAAGGCGGAATATCTGGCTGTCACAACGGTTTCAAACCAAAAAAAAAAAATCTACTAAAATTAAAATAATAACAAAATAAGACAATTTTTCATAAAGATATTATAAAATTAGTTTTTTTATTTATTTGTATCAAAATAAATTAAGCAATTAACGTAATTATGTTAATTTCTAATAGCACAAAAATCATAAAGATTTGTCTGTGCTTTCTGCATTAATAATAATAAGATCTTTCAATTCAAAGTGGAACGAAAATGACGAATTAACTTTCATGCCGACCGCAATTTTGATTTGTGAAGTTCGATAGATAATATAATTTTCTCATCAATTTTCTCTATAATTTTTGCTCCTTTGTTTTTGTCTGCAACCAGAACATAAGTAAATATACGATTTTGTAGCCCAACAAAACTATACATTTTATACGTATTTGAATTTATTTCATTGATAACGTCTTCAATTCATAAGTGGTAAGAATTTTATTTAGATTTCAAACAGGTGTAACAGAAAGATATTAAGTTTAAACAACTTCAGGTAAATGTACAATGTACATAGGTGCATAATATTATCCATTGTATTAATTAAGTTATATATTACTTAAATACCCTTTCTTTTACTTCCTAATTATTTATTACTCTTTCTCTTTTCTCTGTCTAGGTTGTGAGGCGAGAATACATGCCGTTCGGACTTTTACAATGGATCCGGAGAATGTGGATGGAGTGATAGTTAAGCTAGATTTGAAGAACGCCTTCAATACTCTTGAAAGGGACGTCATGCTTCGTGAGGTGATGGAGAATATCCCTGAGCTTTATCCTTTCCTCCACCAGGCATATCATATACCTTCTAACCTATATGTCGGCACTGATTTAATCATGTCCCAGGTTGGTGCGCAACAGGGAGACCCCCTCGGCCCCCTCGCCTTTAGCCTTGCCATTCACAAAGTGATCACTGAGCTCAAATCGCCCCTCAACATCTGGTACTTAGATGATGGGACCATTGGGGGTAAACCAGAAGAAGTGGAAAGGGACTTAGCTTTCTTATTACCTCGTCTGGGGGAGTTAGGTCTAGAGGTTAATTTTACAAAATGCGAGTTCTTTTCCTGTAGTTCGGTGTCATCTCAATCCTTCTCGTCTTTCACTTGTTTGCTTCCGGGCCTCAAGGAGCTCAATAAAGATTCTTTTAATTTGCTTGGTGCTCCTATTTTTCCATCTGCAGTTCCGGAGGCCATGAAAACTCGTAAGGATGTTCTCTTGGAGGCCATTGCTCCTCACGTTGCTCTAGTCCTCTTGCAGAAATGTTTTGCCATCCCAAAAATAACATACCTCCTTCGGATGGCTCCAGTTTGGATGTTCCGTGATGATATTGCTTCTTTTGACGCTGTCATAAAAAATGCGGTTCAGACAATTTTAAATGTCTCCCTGAGGGGCAACCACTGGAAACAGGCATCTTTGCCAATCCGATACGGGGGTATTGGGGTGCATTCTGTTAGTGATGTGAGTCTCCCGGCTTTCTTGGCCTCGGCCCATGGGGTTTCGGGCCTTGTAGCTAATATTCTGTCTATGAATGGCGACAAGGTGACCGTACCCTTTGCGGCCGATGCTTTGGCAGCCTGGTTAGCTCTCGTCCCGGGTGCAGCCGTGCCTAGGAACCCCGAGTTCCAGCGCTCATGGGACGACGTTAATTGTAAAGCGACACTTGAACTGCTTACTGGTGGTGCCACGGGAGTCGATCTGGCGAGGATTTTGGCGGTTTCACAGCCTGAATCCGGGTCGTGGCTGCACGCGTTACCTTCGCCTCATATGGGCACTTTACTTGACGGTGACTCTTTGCGGGTGGCGGTCGCCCTCCGCTTGGGCTGCGATGTATGTCAACCACATGTATGCATCTGCGGTACCATGGTGGGGGCTGACGGCCATCACGCATTGAGCTGCCGTCGATGTACAGGCAGACACCCACGTCACCATGCTCTAAATGACATAGTGTTGAGAGGTCTTAGGTCGGCCGGCGTTCTTTCCGTCCTCGAACCACCTGGTCTCAGCCGCACAGACGGAAAACGGCCTGATGGTCTTACATTGGTACCGTGGGAGAAGGGACGATGTTTGGTGTGGGACGCGACGTGTGTCAGCACTTTCGCCGCTACCCACATCGGCCGCACGACACGCAGGGCTGGGGCGGCGGCTGAGTATCAGGCAACGGCGAAGCGCTTAAAATATTCCTCGTTGGGGCAAGGATATATTTTCGTGCCTTTGGCGGTGGAAACGGCGGGTTGTTGGAGCGCAGAGGCCAAGCAATTTGTGTGGGACCTGGGCCGCCGACTCAGGCAAAAAACTAATGACCCTCGCTCCGGGTCGTTTCTGGCACAAAGATTGTCTATTGCCATCCAGCGTGGCAATGCTGCAAGCATAATGGGCACCTTTGCGCCAGAAACGATACGGGGTGATATTTGAATATTATTAGTATTTGTATATTATTCTTGTACATAATGTTAATTTTAGTTATTACATTATATTATTGATTTATTTATTATTTTCCTGTCGTAGTGTCCAATTTTATAGGCATTATGACAATGCCGTCTTTATACTATCTTTTTTAAACAGACTTTTGTTACCGGTTTCGGAAACAGAAATGTATTTTTCTTATTTGGCATTTTCGAAAAAAGAAATATTTTGTGTTTTCGAAACCGATTTCAAAAATATTAAGTATTATAATTCCTTCCTCGAAACTGGTTAAGGAAAATGGTTTCGAAAACGGCCGAAGGGTGAATTTTGAGTTACCTGATAAACTTTACTAGCTTATTCAGAAAACAATTTAGGTTAATTTTCCCAAAAAAAAAACTTTAATACGTTCGCATTATTTTTATTTACTCCATTTTTAAGTTTCTCAGGTAACTCAAAATGCACGAATAAAAATATAGCACCCTCCATCCTTTAAAGTCGGCGTCGCATTTGTGATACTCCTGGTGTTGCAGGAGTCTGTGGGCGACGGTGATCACTTACCATCAGGTGAGTCGTCAGCTCGTATGCTCCCTATAATAATAAAGGTAGATTATGGTTATTAGGATAAAGCGGTAATACATACCGACAATTCTGCTTGCACCGTTAGCTTCGATGCCGCAGCATTCAGTTGCGTGGTCGGGAGGGAAGGCAGTCAGCTGGCTTTGACAGTTACCCCGTCTGGGAGCAGCGGGAGGAGGTCCACAGCACACGTCAAATTCAGAGCTACTAAGACAGCTGAAATAAGAATCATCATCAGCCTATGAATGTCCCCACTGCTGGGGCACAGGCCTTCGCTATGGATGGAATAGGAAGATTGGGCTATGGACCCATCACGCAAGCGTAGTGCAGAGTTGATGGGTGCTAACGACCGCAGATGTAGCCGGGGCCAACAGCTAAAACCGCCTTCCGAAGCACGGAGAAGCTCGAGATAGTAAATTTGTGGCCACCCATCCAATGACCGACCACGGAGAAAGTTGCTTAGTCTCAACGATCGGAGCCGAGCGCGCTAACCACTTGCGCCATCGAGCTCCACAACAAGAATATTAAACCAAATTGTAATAAACATGTGATGAGCAATACCCACGGAACTTGTATTTGCTGCGAAGGAGATGTTGTATAAGAGTTGCTCAAGAAGTCGGGTGCGGGGTGGGTGACGCTAACAGCGTCATTATAAACACTAGTAGTGAGTAGGGAAACTAAGAGTATAACCGATGTGTACTAATAGGTTCAGCTATAAGTATATACTACAAAAAAATGAGTCGAACAAATATCAGCGCATCAGGTGCTGAAAGGCAGTACTTATATTACCACAGACTTAATATAGGCATTGGTACAAATAATGCAAAATCGCTGCTCGTGTACAGAGTTAAAGAATCTAAATATTATTTTGGGTATTCTTATTATTTATCCTATTTTTTGGTAACGTTTACATAGACCTGATCTAGATTTCTTAAACTCTTATTGAACGCATGTCTAACTTTTTTGTGGTAAGAATGAATATGTTTTATAGTTTATAATAATTGATTTCGCTCACTTGGAATTCAGTACATAATCAAGCTTTGCAGGGAGCAGGTTCATTAAACTTGGACATTGTCTTATGTGTACACAGGTGCCTTGCTTACCCTCTGGGGTAAAGCAATCCGAGCAGCATACCTGAAACAAAATCATCTATTTACTGATTTAAAAGAAAACGGCCGCACTCGGGAGAATCCAATCAAGTGTAACTCTCCTATTATATCCTGACCTAATAAACAAAATTATTATAAAACTTCGAACATTCATTGTTGCTACAGCATCGAAACCCGAGTATTCTGGTCTAAGAGTAATCAAAAAGGCCGGTTTTTCAAGCTTTTCGATGTTTTTGTTATAATTTTTAAAAATACAAGAATGTGTGTTCTTATATCGATTTTCTACAATGAGTACAAAAGACAATTTTTTCTTCATTATCATCATATCAACCGTACGACGCTCACTCGCATCCAGCTTCCCGCGACCGTAACCGACGATCTACGTCGGTATAATTCGTGGGGAGGCTGCCTACTCAGCGTCGCTTCGCCCGGTGCGTGGTCACCATCCGAGAATCTTTCCGCCCCAACTGCCATCGGTTCTCCTCGCTACGTGTCTCAACTATTGCCACGCCTGTAGTCTACTTGACACCTTTGGGGAGACTGTAACACCGCCCAAGTCTCAATCGCTATCGAAGGCTTTCTTATAGTACACGATCACCTAGTGGCAGATATTATACTCTTCGGCCTTCTGCATGACTAGCCGCAGCGAATGGATGCGGTCTATGGTACTAAAGCCTTTTCACCCAGCGCGTGATGAGCTTTGCTACATCTCCGCCTCCACTGCTCCACATTTCTCGCTCTGAGATGGGTGCGCGCGTTCCATTTAACTTGCATTGCTTGTTTATGGTAGGGGAACATAACAAGTAAGCTTCTTTAACGTAATAATTTATTGATGCGTGTTTTAATAACATTTTATTATTGCATTCAAAGTGTCTTATACTAAATAAATAAAAAAAATGCATTAAAAATACTCGAAAATCTCGAGTTATAAAAATCAAATCTTGGTTTTTATGTAATCATAAAAACCGGGAAAACCCGGGTTTTTCTGGATTGGGTAAACCCGGGCTCGATGGCCTAATTGTTGTAAAAATATATAAGGTTTTTGAAAACTTTCGACTGTGGATGTTGATGAAACTTACTTTAACCACGTCCATGTTGCTGTTTGATTCGCATTGCAAACTCCGCAAGTAGTTGGCAATCTTAGGGTTTCTTCTGGCGCTCGGCATCAGCTTGATCACCGACGGGCATGCACTGACAGGGGTGCATTTACCATAACCTCCGTCCGGGAGAGTGCAGAAATCTGCTGAACTCGGAAAAAAAACAAACATTGCGTTCTAGCATGATTTTAGCATATGAGTAAAGTAAGCTCAGAGACAAAGCTTTCATAAACTTGTGCGTGTTTGTATGAGCACTGGTGGCTGTCGCTGTCGCGTACTCAGAGAAACGTATCTTGGCGGCGAGGCCTGTCTAATGCTTACCCACACGCGCACTGCATGAAGCTTCGCCTCTGTGACTGCTTGACTCACGTCACGTCAGTATATTTTGTTATAAATGGTTTAGACATGTCTCCCCTCACTTGATTTTAAGTGACGTTGAAGTCCAGTCCATCCATCTAATGAATGATGTGGTTTTCATTTGTTTTCTACGACTCCCTTATTCGAAATAGTTTCATATCCCTTTTTACGTTTTGCCCATGGATGAGTGTGAAATTATGTATTTACAAATATAATGCAATACATAAATATTAAATTTATAAAATAAACATTACACAGGTGCATCGATTCTGGCATGATTCTCTAAAGCTAAACATAAATTTGACAATCATTGTCATTCTCTGTACAGAATTTAAAGTAAAGACTGATGTTATAGTTAATTTTATGTTTAGAGAATTATGCCAGAATCGACACCACATTCCACCTAACGCATGGAAATACAATAACAAAATAATGATTAAAATAAGGTAGTATTTGATAGAACTACAAGGACTACTGAGAAGTGCTGATGTAATGTTTTTGTTAAATACACCATTTAGACTAGCATCGAAGTAAGCACGGATAGAATACATATAAGTATATTTTAGACAGAAATATATATGTATAATACATGACTAAGGAACAAATTCTCATATTCACAATACTGACATTTTCCCCCACGGGGATCCGAACCCAGGACTTCTGTGTAGGCAACACCTTGAAACCTGGCGTATAGGTATATACCACTCGGCTATGGAGGACGTCAAATTGATTTAATACAAAAACGCCGTTCTGATTTCTGACGGTTTCCAGTGAATTTCTTAATCACGAACTAATTACAAGAATGGTTAGTAGTGTAACAATAAAATAAAACTAGAAGTAAGTTGCCCTGAATTTTCCATTTACTTAAAACTGGAGCTCCCGGATATTGAGCTACTCTTATACATAAAAGTTAAAATATGTAACATATATGCGAAATTTTTTGCGGTTTATTTTTTACGTTTTTACATAGTATGATGATTGAATTCGCGCTCTCTAAAGCATTGGAAACTACTGTAACGATCGAAAAAATGCCATAATGCCAGGAGGATTTGTAGGACAAACTTACATTGGGATAGTATTTTCCTTATTTGTTGTTTTTGAAAACGGCCCTAAACTGGAGCCTGAGCATCGTATATCATAATAATCATAATCAATCATAATCAAAATCATTTATTTAGTTTAGGCTGTTACAAGAATATATGAATGTCTAGAAGCTACGCCATCGGTTCGTAAATCTACGGCGGGAGACCTTGTACTGAGAAGAACCGGCAAGAAACTCAGCAAGGGCTGTTTTTTTTCTCCCTGTTTTATCATTTACAGAGTCGTCAAATTGAAAAATGACTTTAGAGATGAGATTTCAAGACTAAGATATGCCCAGAACCACTTGAATTGGACTATTGCTGATTGGTCAAAAGTTATGTTCTCCGACGAATCAAAATTTATGCTCTACAAGCACGATGGAAGACACGGAGTATATAGAAGACCTGGGGAAAGATTTAAGCAAGCATGCATCGAATAAAAAGTAGCCTACGGTGGTGTGTCTGTACTTGTGTGGGCCGGAATACTTCTGAGAGAGGCACGGAACTGGTGTTCATAGAAAACGGCTCTTTAACTAGCGAAAGATGTGTGGAAGAAATCTTGAATGAACACGTTGGTCCATTTATGGTCAGTTTGGGTTGGAAAGCGAATGACTACCTTCAAGAGATGAAAATTACTCGTATGGAGTGGCCAGCACGCAGCCCGGATATCAACCCTATCGAGCATGCTTGAGACGAGCTTACGCTACGCTTCGTTAGCTCAAAATTGCTCTCACAGACGAATGGGAGAATATCACCCAAAAACATATAAGAAACGTGTACAGCATGCCAAATCGGGTAAACGCAGTAATGGAAGCACGAAGTATTAAAATTCAAGAAAATCGTAATATTGATCAAAAATGACATGTTTCCTATTTTTCTTTTAAGGCGAGATCAGTCAGTATTTTTTTTTCTTTATGTATTTTTTTGTAAATAAAATGAGGTGACTCATTAATTTTATTACTTTCATTTAAGGAGTATTTAATTGTCAATCAAACACAATTTATTTCATTAAGCTAGCATTCTTAGTTTGCGAGATTTTTAGGATTCTTTATGCACTGATTCATTGCTCTCGAGTGTATATTTTATTTATTTTATTTTACTCCTTCCAATATGCTCCAGTTTTACGTTTAAAATAGTAAACATAAAATGTTGACTTACCGCAGTTTGCATATCCCGTAGTGAATATCACTATATAAAAAAACAATAGAGGTTTGTTCATCCTCATTAACTGTTCTTGATTGCGAATTAATAATTTATTTAAAACCGGTTGCTCTATCAAGCCATGCACATCCAGTGACATTTATAACAGTTTTAATAACATAACCTTTAATATTTTCGTATTTATAAGTGTGTGTTCATATATGTAAAATACATATTTAAAAGCAGATAAATTATATAAGCCACAGTGTATGTAACATTCCGTAGGTCGTGGATGATTAAGTATGATTGAGTTAAAGGGGACTTTTTAGCTGTGGAGATAAACAGGCGAAAAAATCTACACAGCGTTAAATTGTGTAAAAATATCTTCACAACATTATATAGTTACAGTGTCAACACAAAATCATGTTGTTTTAATTTAGTTATCGAAACAGCCTGTCGGAACTTTATGTTTGGAACAGATAAAATCAGAGCGTTTTTGTCTGAAAATAATGAGACTATTATATAAGGCTTTATTAATAAGTACTTTTTATTGTTCCATACCCAAAGGGTAAAAACGGGACCCTATTATTAATACTCCGCTGTCCGAATATACGTCCGTCTCTATAACGTTTTAAACTTGCAAGGTCTTAAGCATTAAAATAGTTAATAATTTCGAAGCGAACACTACAATCTTAGTGAGTGAGTTCTTTTTGGTGGGAACTTGATATGAGTGGGTTGTCAATTTTTAACTGACTGAGAGACGAAAAAAATGGTATATATTTTGTTTGTAAATGTTAATTTTGAGCAAAATAATGGTTCTGGGTAGAGGTAGGTATGTACCTGCTTTGCCTTTGTTTTGCCAATTTATTACAAAGCAAAAGTTTTGTTTTACCGAAAATATCGATAAAAATCGCGTTGATGTGGTCGATATATTGGATATCGATGTTTGCCTGACTTCGATTTATTATTATAAATCAATATTGCAAAAACACTGCATCCGCACTTATTACAGAGCTAAAAAAAATACTTAAAATATCGATAATACTGAAAATATCGCGTAAGCGTGGTCGATATATTGGATATCGATATTTGCCCGACTTCGATATAAATATATTTATATATAGCACCATAGACGACCAGGGAAGCAATCGCCTAATGGTATTGCTATGGTTATCGCTATTGCTTACGATTTCGTTTTGTTATTTCTAATTGCCGAAGGGAAAAATATATTGGTAAGCGATAGCGATAGCCATAGCATCCCGTAGGCGATTTGCCTCCAGACCAGACCAACGAAACTCTTAGAGACCACGAATTTATAATTCAAATTAGAAGCTCTGGACTGTTGCCATGCGTCTGTCCTGTCGTGATAGATGTTTCATATCAATTATTCGTACACATTCATATGTATTAATTTATTCCAAATAAATAGAAAGAATGTTAACATTGATAGAAACAAATGCACACATTCCTAATGCAGACTTTAGTACCTATCTACTATATTTGTATTAATAAAGCTAGTTCTTGCTATGCACATTTTCTAATTCCCTGTAACAATAATAAACTTTGTGTTATATTTTAAAAAACTCTAGGCCACTGACTTTAAAGCGTTGCTGTGTAAGAAAGTCAAAAACATTTACTGTTTACATTTTGATTGTGGCACACACACATAACTTGGATTTTACAATGTCAGAGGTTACAATTATACCCGGAGCAATCTTTAAAAGGAAAATACACTTGTTGATCATCCTCAAAAATAATAGGTAATATTAATTAAATAATATTATCCTTATTCTGTAACGTTAAGCTACCTAATTATAAAACTAAACGCATAATCGTGTTTTCCTAATAAAATTATTTAAAAGTACAACTATTAAAATCAACGAAGAAATAATACAATGTGTTGACTCAACAGTATTTTTAGGAATAACCTTAGATTCACGTTTGCAATGGAATCCTCATATAACTACCCTTTCAAGAAGACTTGGCTCGTCTGCTTTTGCTGTAAAAAAAATTAGATTACTGTCGGATGTCGAGACGGCAAGGCTTGTATATTTCGGTTATTTCCATAGTGTCATGTCATATGGTATGTTACTATGGGGAACAGCGGCTGATATTCAAGATATTTTTACAAGCTCTTATTTAACTTGCTATGTATGTTTGTTACGGTCAAATCTTACAACTCAATTTTAAAGCACTTGCCCTCAACCGATTAAGCTGAAATTTGGTATGCTCGTTCAATTCGGATGACAATGCATGATTAACAGTGTGACGTCATTCTAAATCCAATATGGCGGCATACCCAAAATGGCGGACCAATCATTTTTAATGCATTCCTACAATATGGGTATCAAATTAAAGGGCTTGCTGAGAGTAACTCGAAAAAAATGTGACGTCACTCTCAATCCAATATGGCGGACTTCTAAAATTTGAAAATCTATTTAAAAACAGATATCTTTAACTAATTTAGTTGAAATTTACTTTTTTCTTTTTAGCGCATTTGAATAAAATCTTGTTTTTAAAAAGGTTTTTTTTACCTTAATTTTATTATATTACAAAAGAGAGCCGTACGCGCTATTTATAAATTAAAACCGCGTGATTCACTGAGAGAATTATTTAAAGACATCAATATTTTGACGGTTCCCTCGCAATATGTATATGACAACATTATGTATGTCCACAAAAACTTGCATACCTTTTTAAAGAATAGTGATTATCACAATGTCAATACAAGAGGTAAAAATAGACTTGCTGTTCCGACTTTCAGACTTCATAAAACTAGTCAATCATTCATGGGGAAATGTATACAAATATATAATAAACTTCCACTTAATGTAACTGAACTTCCATTACATAAATTTAAACTTCATGTTAAGGAAATTTTAATGAAAAAGGCATAGGCATTATAAAGTTCAGCAATATTTAGACGATAAAAAGGTTTGGATACATTCGAATGTGCTCGATTCTCCACTGAAATCCAGAAAGATATAATTAAGCGTATACTTATTATTCTAAATTGACAATATTGTAAGGAAAGACGTCATGGATCACATCTTTTACATATATTCTTTTATTTCGTAGTAACTACTGGTCTTTTATTTATTTATACTTTTAAAATTAAGTAAACTATTAAAGACCTGATGTGGATTATGACTCTTTCCAAATAAATAAAAATAGATAGTGTAAAGGGAGGACAAAACTTGCTGAGTTTCTTGCCGGTTCTTCTCAGACAAGGCCTTCTGGTAGACTCTTGAACCGATGGCATCAAATTTGACTTTCATAAGTGTGCAAATTGTACCTAAATGAATAAAGAAATTTTGACTTTGACTTAACATTTAGGGGGATGAAAAATAGATTACATCCGATTCTCAGACCTACACAATATGCACACAAAATTTCACGAAAATCGGTCGAGCCGTTTCGGAGGAGTTTAATCACAAACACCGCGACACGAGAATTTTATATATTAGATATATAACTCAGTTTTTCTACCGTAAAATGTTGTGACATCCTTGTAATATTCGTAAATTATTTCATTCATACATTCGTACTTTGTACTTTCGTACACACATGAAAGTGGACGAACCTTCCCGTAGTCTTCCACACATTCGCGCACCCGGTTGCCAAGGTAACGGTTGACGTAATTTATGAAATAAAATTATTTTAATTTCATCAAATCTGTCGAGTTGCCACCACCACCACACACTGGGAGTGCCATACCTTCCATCTTATACTATCATGCAACTGACAATAGGTGGCTGGCAGGCCTGTCACGCCTGTTTTCTTGGGCCACGATTGTACTATTGTTTTTGGCAAACTACTATCTTTTTAACTTCCGTAGACAATAATTTTCAGAGAGCCTGGTTCCAACCCTAAGTGAAGGAACTCGGACAGTCGTTAATGGTCGTTAGCTTAAACTGCTAATCTATTTGACACTATTTATCATCTTTGCTCTGCTAATTGTAATTTGTGAAAAATTACATCATCGTAGACCAATGCTCGTCCACTGCTGGACATAGGTCTCCCCTAATGCACGCCACTGCTTCCGATTTTCTGCCATTCTCATCCAGCCCACTCCAGCCAGCCTACGAATGTCATCATCCCATCTTGTTTCAGTTTAATTTTACATTTTTTTGTGGTTATAATTAAGAATCAAACGAACTTACCTTGTGAAGTTTGATATCTAATTATACGAATGTCTTGACCGAAGATGATTACATATTACATGCAGCAGCTCACGAGATGATGCTGTCCTCACCACATTTAAGAGTTACTTAATCTTTTTTGAATTAAAAAAATAATACATCAAAGTCATTTTATCTAAGGACTATGACAGCCTGCTATCTACCGGCACTCACTGTTCCTACTCATTTATTTAGAGCAAATTTTTTCGATTGATCTGGGGCCATGGGACGGGCGGGAGCGTAATCATCTTCGGTCAAGACATTCGTATAATTAGATATCAAACTTCACAAGGTAAGTTCGATAGATTCTTAATTATACTTCATATCTTTCCCGAAGATGATTACATATAACATGCAGATGTTCAAAGCATCGGAAAATTTTTTTGAAGTGATGGAAGAGAGGGGAAAAAATAAAAAAGAAATAATACTTATAACTTTTCTTAAACTTTCTATTCATAATCAAACATAACGTAAGAATTAATAATTACTATTGAAATACATATAGCGTTAACAAAATCATTGTCATTTGTAGTCGACACATTCTTATTCTAATACTTTAAAAATACTTTCGACGCGTCTGTCCAGCCGGCAGCTTATCTAATAACTTCCAAATTGACTCCTGCCCTGTGCGCAGCAGACGTCGGCGCGTGTCGAGTGCTGTGAGCGCTGTATATGCTTGTATCTATACCACTCTTTTCTAGTACAAATTTTATCCAATGTCATAATGTTTGTGGGGCTACTTTTCTGTGGGGTTTTTGTTAAGTAATGACAAAATAATCCTGATTTCGTAAACTACTAGTTCTATCTACGTAAGATTTGAAAGCTGAAGCTGGGCAGAGTTTCGAGTCTTCTTTAATAATTGGTAGTACTATTAAAGGTTGGTAAGATCCAGGTCTCGAAGTTTTTATGAAATCATCAATTTTTATAGTAATTTTATCTATATCGAAGCAAATATTTTGAATTTTAATAAGGCTAATGGTCTGTACTCTATGAGCAGAAGCTAAAGCGAGGAGAGTTATAGTTTTAACTGTAAGATCTTTTAGCGAAATTAAATTATTCGGAAAATAACTAGATAAATAATTTAATACCAAATTTGGGTCCCACGTACAATTATATTTGGGAGCAGATGGACGAAGGCGATAAATACCCTTAAAAAACGTTTAATACAATCGCTTTCATTGAAATCATTACGGTATAGTAAAGATAAAGCCGAACGATGTGTATTAAGCGTACTGTAGCTAAAACCAGAGTTATACATTACTGTTAAATATTCTATTATTTGGGTAATATTTGGATTATGATAATCAATTTTTTTATTATTGCAATATTGTAACCATGAATTTAGCGTTGAATTATATTGATTAAGTGTGTTTGTAGAAAAGGACGACATTACTATGTCTAGTGAGGCTTAGGGTATACCATGCCTTAATAACGACTGCCGGATAATTTCCCTGCCATCAGGCTGAGATCCGTATGTAGGGGATGTTTGTCTCTGAAAGGTGAAAATAACAAATTTGGATGAGGCTTAAAATATATGCCTTCAGATATTAATAACATTGACCATAATGGGTACCACGATTGTGTGGGCCAGTATGGCACTACTAAGATGCCTTCGGCCTTGTCTATTTTATTTTTTTGTAATACTTTACTTATTAAGCTGAATGGAGGGAAGGCATAGAATTTCAAATTATTCCAACAGAATGTGAACGCGTCAACTATTTCAGAATTGGGATCTAATTTCCACGATGCATATCTATATCATTTATGATTTTGAATACTAGCAAATAAGTCAAATTTTGGTGTACCCAATTTAAGGGTTATTTTCTTAAAAACATCATGATTTAATTCCCATTCAGTATCTATATTTGTTTCACGAGATTCAAAATCTGCTACAACATTTTGACTTGACGAAATATATGAGGCGAAAACATAAATGTTTCGCTTTTCACACCATTGCCATATATCACGGGCGATGTTATTTAAATGTTTGTACTGTGTTCCCCCCATTTTATTTATATAAGCGATGGCTGTCGTATTATCTATTCTTAAAAGGATGTAACAATTTTGCACTTGTGAAGCAAATATTCTGAGACCGTAAAACGCAGCTAACAATTCTAGTGTGTTTATGTGAAGAGATTGTTGGGAGTGCTTCCAGTGTCCGCTGGCGGTCTGGTTACCACACGCCGCACCCCAGCCGGTGGTTGAGGCGTCGGTAAATATAACTAAGGTATAAATAGAAATATGAAATGGACATGACGAGAACCCAATATTTTTTATCCACCACCTGATATCTTCCTTTGTACTTTCAGGCAAATATAACAAATATATGTTATATTTGTTATATTTGAGAGAATAATTAAGAGCTAAAAACTTTTCTCTTTCAAGTAATTTAGTATAAACCCAGCCATATTTAACAGCGGGACACGCTGACGTTAGCACGCCTAAAAATATTGCCAGTTCACGAATAGTACATCTTGTTGTATGTAAAAATTCATCATCAAGGGTATATGATCTTAGTTTTTGTGTTCCGGTTTGATGGGGTTCAGAAAGAAACGGTATTTTATAACCCCTTATCCACGACAGAATTATTTTGTCATTTGTTATATTAAGCCATTAGTCATAATAAAATTGTAGTCTACCCGCGACAGTAAGAAGTTCGGTATTTTGTACCTCTGATGGCGTGGTTAACGTCTCCAATGCTGGTGACTGTACTGGCTGGTCCTGGGTTGGTTGGCCCCGCGGTGGCGGCCCCGCGGCGGCGGCGGCGGCGGCAGCGGTGGCCCTTGGCGCCGAGGTTGTGGGGGGTTCACTCGCTGCTCGGCGGCCGCTACTCGCGGTGCCCCCCTGGCGTTTAAAGTCTCCGGTCGACGAAATCCAGATGTGCTGAGTTGAGCGATTGGCTGTTGGTAGTACCTACGACATGCTGTAGGCTTCAACTCTAATGCAGACTTAGATATGGCTTTCAATGACTTCAGATGATCATGTAAATCGGAAATATTAATCGATTTTTGTATTTTTTATTGTATCTCGCTTTTATTTGCTGATTGAATTTATAATGGAAAACCTCCTTGATACAGATTCTCTGTAATGAGTATTGCATAGTAAACGGCCTGCGTCACCTAATGTTTTTATTATTTTCTGTGGTATTATTTGTTCCTTTTGAGCCAATGCTAAATTCAGACCTCGACCTATGGCGGCAATACAACTCGCCATTTGGTTTTGCTTTTGCTCGCTATAAGAGTCCTTTTTTAAATTGGTTTCCGAAAGAGCCGATTTGACTTCGGGATTTAGCTTCGGTGCTTTCATATGTATGCAATTTTCTGCGGGAAGGTACTGTTTAAGCAAATCTGATTTTTCATCTTATGGCAATCCGTTAATCAATATGTATTTCCACGTTACTGCTAAGTCCTGATGTAAGTTATCGCCAAAGCTTTTATCTAGTGTTGGGTCGGTACCTAACAGCTCTAAAATATCCGGTTCTAAATCTAGACTATTATCAGGATTCTCCGTTTGAAAAGGAGCCTCATTAACTGGGATCTCATCCGTAAGCCATAAAACACAACATTAAATAAAATTGTTGTGTGAAACACTATTTCAAGAGAAATAGGCACTTTTTATCCACACACGATAATGTCGGGATAAAATTAATTAGCATTTTTTTTATTTTTTATTTTTGTGTGTTATCTACACACGGTAATCCGTCGAGATAAATAATAGGTGATAAAGCAAACACCCACACACGGTATACGTCGGGATTTTATTGCAATTTTTTTAAAACGCCATTGTGTCTACACACGTAAAAACGTCGAGACATAGATAATTTAATTAAATACTTATATATTTTTCCCATATGAGAAAAAATATGGTGTGTAGTGAAGAGAACTTATATCCTTTTTTAAATATCCATTGTAGTACAACTACCGCTTCAATAGAATTTAACTTTGTATGTTATATCAATGATAGAAAACTCACCAATTTCTGGATCACTCATTAAAAATAATTTGATGCTCCTCATTATCGGTTGATAACAAATGTTCCGTCCGTTCGTCCTCCGAAGAGGACGATTCTATTCGCCGACCTTTTTTAACCAACTGTTTAACTTTTTTAAGGATTTTTTCCACTATACTTCGACTTTTTATTAGCTGCAGTAAAATGACGTTTCAAAATGTCATTCCGTAAAATAATGTTGA